GAAATGCTGTAATGCCCATCGAACGTCACAGGCCAGACCGATGGGAAATGAGCATGTTGGCGGAAGCTGATTGATGAGCCAATCAAGTAATAGTTGGTCCTTGATCGTCTCCAGCCTGCAACCATTCACTGAACGTGCAAGTGACCAAACAGGCACCAGCAGGCGAAGGAGCGCATACTTGTGCATACTTGAGCCAAGGCTTGTCGCATTGGACCGAGGAAAGAAGAGCGCGGGCCCCATCCCGCCAATCGTACATCCACTAAGAAAGTCAAGGTGATTTTAGACAGAGTGAACGTGGCGAGCAAGCATAAACCAATGGAAAGGGAGCCAGCGACACAATGCAAATAACAGGGATGAGCCATTGAAACGGACTGTTGTAAATAGTGTATATACTCTATAAATATTCTAGTGTAATCTTCATAAATGACTTCGGGATCACTGCCTAATCTTCTTGCTTCCCAGTGGACAAAACACAACAGTCAAGCGCGAATAAACTCTCCAGAGTGGTCCTATTATTGGCTTGCACTTCGCACCTTTAAAGTGCAAAGTGTTATTGGAGGACCACCAGTCATTTGATGCTCCCTTGTCCCTTGGTACCTAGGAACTCGAAGTAGTTGTTCGGTTCGTTTACATTGGCAGGTGATACGTAACGACGGGTGCATAACCATTGAAGTCAGTTTATGCATTGTGAAAGCTAGAACCGCTTCTTGAAACTATGACACCTGTGTGTGTTTCCCTCGGTCTGTAAGGCTGTGTGTACGAGGCTACGGTGAGGACGGTCCTGCTCTATGGGAGTGGGACTTTGTACCTACGGTCTGAGGATCATAGTCAAATACTAGTCTTTGTTCATCGCTGCATGTGAAGCGTTGTTGTGGTTGGATTGCATGGGTAATTGGCAAAATGATGCCCGTAAACGAGTAGCAGGCAGTGATAACATGCCAATTGATTAGAACATTAAGCACAATAGAATTAGTTGCGCTGGCTTGGGCACGTATTGCGTAAGCCTGGTCACCAGTTATCGAGGATGGCCCTTCTTTGTTTGCCAGTTGGATGATGGCGCAATGGCTATGAGGGAAAACATGACCTGCTTTCGGAAAATGGTCACTGCTTACCATAATGAGTGCTGTTGTTCTGTTCAGGCTCCTAAGCTAAAGTCTACGCCACTCAACATGGCTTGTGGTCGACCTCAGTTGTGTGCCGACTTTTGTCTTTTTGTCTGACTGCCTATTTACATTGATGATGTTGAGTTATCTGCTAGGTAACGGCTAACTGTGACTCAGGTCAATAAAATCTGCAAGCAAACTATCTGGCGATAGTCACTATACAGTCGCATGAAAGCCAGCTGTTTGTGACCGAAGTTGTTGCCTAAGAGTAGGCGCCTTCGCTATGGGTAATTGCTTAAAGCGTTCAGGTATTACATTAGGTCCCTCCTCTCGCCCTCTTACTATTCTCTGATCCTTAGTTTAGTGTTGGTGGACGGCTACTGTCGACTTTCTTGATGATGATGAGTATATCGATGGACACAGTCAACTGTTATATACTTTCCTCGGTTGCAGTTGAATTCCCGTCAAGCCCGCAAAAACCCATTCAGCTACGCGATAATACGCTACGATTTCACTAAGTACAAACGCATTGTCATTGCCACATCGACTTCAACTTCGTCCCTGCTGTGCTTCTAGACTGTGAACTAGCTATAGTGAAGTTGATCTTGATGTCATTCGGTGTTTTTAGCGGCCCCAATTATTAAACCTATTCTCTTAGATCGATAAGAATGTCCATCTGAATGCTCGGTTGTGGTAGTAAGCAAGCACATAAGCCTACAGTGATAATGAGTTTTACCGAAAATGCCGTCACGGTGTCGGAAAGTTGTAATGAAACACTGTGATCCACCCACTTTCATAATTCACTAGATTGACGGAATGTCCCCAGTGCTAACAATTCATGAACTGACTGACATACGTTGGACGCTGTATCACGAGTAATATCGTGAACACATAGTAGATGGGAAAAAGCTTACCCAAATTTAGGCAGAAAAAGATTATTACACAGTAGAAAATACCTGAGACGTTTGGTAGGAATCTTGTACTGCCATACTCATCCCGAAGGTTTAAAGTACAGTTGATTGGAAAGTGAAGCCTATTTAAACTTGTAGGCTGGACATAAAGCGATTACTTTTATAAAGAAGCTAATCTGCTCCTATGTACCTGGTGAATTTGAAGAACTCGATTAGCATGCACACAGAACGACCGACTGCGTCCGTGAAATGATCAGCAGAATTGAGCACAAGGTTTTCATTAATCGAATATCCACAGAGGTACAATTGTGATTTACGAAATATCAAGAGCGTTCGTGAATACCACTGGGTGACAGTTACTACCTCTGTCTCAAGAATGAAGCGGTTAGGAAATTTCAGCAAGGCCTGGAAGGAGAGTATCGTGATGGAAAAGGCTCCTAAGTTTACTAGCCGAGTAAACAATAACAACAACAACAACAACAACAACAACAACGTACTCATTGTCATACCCGGCAGATCTGAAGATGGTTAACTAATGAATGCAGACCAAGGAACAAAGAAATGCAGCATCCGCCATGCCTCAGGTATGAACAGCCTGTACCATGACGTTTCTTTATGGACCGTCCTTTTATACATAGTACGTTGTATCAATCACGTCCCAGCTCATACATATTAAACTGCTTGTGTGTTCGTGTTATGCAGAAAATGATTTAATAACTGATTGTTAGTTCATTCTGGTTGCGGATGCGTTCTTGTCAACCCTATTCAAACAGCTTGTTTTCAAGTCGCTCTACTGTCGTGCTTCGACTTGTTCTTGAGATTGTTTAAATTGTGAGCAAACTACTGAATACCCAATTTAGACTCTGAGCGCTGCGGTTCACTTTGAACTTTACCTTGACCAGTTCGTTCACCGGGACCATAGCTGGAGCGGATCACTGTGAAGTATGGACTGTTTCCAACTTGGCGCTTCGCGGTACGCTTGGCCTTTGTTTGGGGCATAAATGCTTGGAAAGTAGGATTGGTACTTGTGTCAAATATTTACTGTACTGTGACTTGTCATTTAACATTATGAACATAGATTTCATCAATCTGACAGACCACCAACATCTTGAAACAACTAAGTTCGAAAGCAACGCTTTAAAACGATGGACCGCCAGAGAAAAAGCTAAGGTTGTTGGTCAATTTTCCGATTACTGCGCCGAACCCGCCGTATCCTCGCACTATACTTAACTAGTTATGAATATGTGTTCTTGATAAAATGTAGATGAAATACTGCCGGATTTTTACTTGGAGCATTTAAGTTTCACACGAAGACCCTCTTATCTCCATTTTATCATTCTTCGTTCCCTAAGTCAAGCCATTACCAAAGGAATGAGTTTCAAATATATGCCAATCGCCTTCATCTCGGTTTCTTTGAAGATCTTTGAGAAGATTGTTCTTAAAAGAATTTCAGCCCAGACGCATTTGGATGAGTCTCATTAGTTTACATTCCGCTGCTCAAGCTCCAGCTTAAAGGCAGTAGCATGTCCGTTACCTACTGTGCTCTCGTCATTGGATGAGAAAAACAAATCCACCCACATCTGCTTCTTGGATTATAACAGCGCTTTCGGTTGAGTGAACCGTAAACTGATTTTACGCGCTCTTTCAGGTACTAGAGTTTAAAATTCTGTTGTTCTTCTTTTGAAAGGTTATTTTACAAGGAGTACTCCGTTTAATAGGTTTTAGGGAAAAACCTCTTCAATCACCAAGAATGTTGGTGTTTCTCAGAGAGACACTTTTTCCCATTCATGGTTACCACTTACGTTACCTCAATCCCCTTCCCTGAAGAAGACATCTTGCTGTACTTTGCGGCTGACCAAATAGTTAACGTTCAGCATCCAAGCACAGAGTCATTGGCCAAACTACAAACCCTCCTAAACAATCTTACAGCTTGGTCGAAAGCTCGTAAACTACCGTTAAACACTGTGAATTGCAAGGATGTCTATCATAAGGAAATCGCTACCAGCAAATCCTAAAACACTGCCCGCAATTCTACCTTGATACTCTATGTGTGATCACTTCTGCTTCAGTAAACTACCTGGGAGTAACACTGAGAAGTTGGCTTACGTGGTCCGTTCAAGTGAATGAAACATTCGCTAAAGTTAAAAAACTCTCATTCTGCTTTGCTCGTCCCGGATTTTCTTCCGTACCCCGTTTTTCGATCCAGCGTTTTAATACTGCATGTGTGTTACCCTACTGGACCTATTGCTCTCCTGTGATCTTTCCTGGTCTTCTGACTAAGGACCTCAAAGTAATTGCCAGATAAGGGAAGGATCTAACCCAGTGTAGTGGCATTTCAAGGGCGGAACTTGTTAGCATTACGTACCCAGCTGTGTCAACTCCTGCAAAAAGCTTGCAGCCAAAAACTCACTCATGTTAGTCACTGCACTATAGAGCGTTGTTTGAATGTGTATTAACCTCCTCGATCAGACAGAGCTACAAAACTATTTCCGCCTTAAGAAGGGCAAGCAGTTCCTTGCTTGCCACGTTTCTTGCATGATAAAAGTTCGGTCACACAAGAACTGATTGGTAATTTTTTTCAGTGCTGTTAGCTGTGTCAAAATTTTTACGCTTAGACGATTGTGGTATTATATTCCTCTTCTTGCATTAGTCTATTTCTTCTTTATCCCTGTCCGTGACGTATATGCTAGAGTTGAATATTCACCCTTCATGGGTGCGTACATTAATCACATTCTTGACTTGACTTCATGTACTTCTGTGAATGCTGTTGACGCTGATGCCGAAGATTGCTGAGCTCAACAAAAGTGTTGAAGGCCTGTGCAATCTGCCGACGCCTTATAGGTAATATATGAATTTTATCCATTTTTGGACAACTGCATTCACTGCAGCCTGTGCTTACTTTAATTTGTTCATCAGGAAAATCCTTTCCTGATTTTGGACACATCTTATGCCATCATTATATGTTCATTCTTTTAATATGTTTCAGCATGGTGCTTGAAAGCACCTCACATAAGCTGTGTGCTTCTTGGAGTTGCGACTGTCGACCAGCTTCAAGAGAATCTCGAGGCCATAGAAGTACGTGACAATTCTTAATTTCTACTACTATAAAACATCATCATTTTCAATCGGTCAGTTAGATCGTAATCTTATGGCGATCGCACTGAGATTTGGTTCATGGTCATTAGCTTTTCTCGTCTCGAGAGTTCCAAAGCTTTGAACGAAGATAAGCTTTGCTAATTACGACGGAATAACTTCCTTATTAGTCAAAGTGCAAAAGAAATTAAAATGTCTTATTACGGCTTCGAATGGTATGTGTAAGCAGCAGCACTGAAATGTGATTCGTGACATCTGGAGGCTAACTACTGTTCTCTGCAATGGTAGTAACCTGAATGACAGTGGAGGATAGGTTGCGATATACAGATAGTCTGATGGAAGAAGGCCGTTTAGCATTCATTTACCGACCATGGCTCGTTCACGGTAAACGCCGGTCATTTACGGTTGTTGTCCCCAACATCCAATAGCCATCCAATGTTTAGCAAAATTCGCAACATGCTACTGCGAGGGCAGAGACATGCATTTCTCTCTCACCTTAGTGGTGCGGACGTAAGGAATTCTCGGCAGACGAATGATTTAGTGCAGGGCTCAGCTGAGAAAAAGTCTAACCTCTAAAGACGCACCGACATGAGGCGGTTTAGCAGCCAGCGAGTCATAACGTGTTTCCGGCTGTCAACTAACTTCGCACTGAGTGAAGGTCATGATGCTTATCTCTGTGTGTGTCCCTGGCTACGCGGCAAAGTCGGCTTAGGCGACCGGAACCGCAACATGCATGTGCGCACGTGATGGCAGCTCAGCTGAGGACGAGGTTAGATATTGCAACTGTTGTCAATGTTATTGAATCACGGGTAATGGAGCACGGGCAGACAACGCAGTCGGGATCACGTAACGTTCCTGTTACTCAGCGCGCTGATTATTTGGCTGAACGGTGAATGCGGTTTAAACGCCGCATCAGCTTCAAGAAAATACAACGCAATGAACGCAGGAATGCGTCCCATCACCGCTCGGTACGTGCTTAAACTAATGAAGAAGTTCGAGCAAACTGGTAGTGTGTGTGACATGAAGAGAACTGGACCGCCTCGCATCACCACGGACGATCGTTCAACTTGCGCTGTAGTCAGTGAAGTGTCAATAAGTCCCGATCTCAGCATTCATCGGATCGCACAGCACTGACACGACCCGACATGCGGTACACCGGATATTACTGGAACGAAAATTTCGGCGGTTTCATGCACTTCAAGTGCAGGTTTTGAACCCATGCGATCGGGAAAAGCGGCATGAATTTTGCCGCTGGTTTATGGATCACGGGGATATTCGTTCTGTTATCTTTACAGATGAGGCATTGTTTCATCTGCATGGAACAAGGAAACTACTGTTGGGCTACCAGCAACCCACGAAAATTTACCGCATCACGTATGAACCACAGCGTGAAACTGATGGTTTGGGCCGGATTAACAAGCCAGCAAATCTTGAGCCCATATCTCTTTTCCGGGAATGTGACCTGTAGGTTGTTGTTTTGAAGTACTAAAGACTTATCTTTTCCTAGCATCGTTGTATTTGGAGATGCTGCAGACATTTGTGCTTCCCCAGTTGGAGGCCGAAGGGGCATTCATACTATTTGGTGCACATGCACATTCTGCTAAAACGGTGCGTGCTTACCTCACCGACAAATTTGGTCACCATCGGATCGGACGCGGTGGACCAATGGAGTGGCCTGCTCGCTCACCAGAGTTGAGTCCCATGGACTTTTTTCTATGGGACTGTATGAAGCGGCGAGTGTACAAAACAAGACCGAATACATTGGATCAATTGAAAGAAAATATTGTGAACGAATGTCGCGCGATCACGTGGGATACATTGGAGAAAGTGCTCGCCAATTGCATCAAGCCGTTTGTGCACTGTAAACAGAATGCCGGCGGACATTTTGAACATATCCTTCACTGGCACAGATGATCGTTCCAATACATTTCTGTTAATATACTTATCCTCTTTCACAAATGTGGTAACGACTAAACTAGGCCGCTGGCAAGTAGTGCTAATGATGCGTCCGGTCGGATGGAATTCATAACGTCCAGGCTGTCGTTGAGCACATAAACAACGTAGGAACCGAAACGTACAATGGCTACTTATGGCGAAATCACTGAGTCGCCATGTGCTGAGGTTAGTCTAGCCTTAATAAAAAGCCAACTGTGTTGTTGACTATTTCAAGCTATTGCCTGTAAAGTTGGATGAGTTGCAGTAGATGCAAACGTGGGTCGTTCCGTATCTGTAGAGTAATATGAGTTCCAGTAGGCGCCTGTAGTGTCTACTGAACACTGGAGTGTTACACTTGTGCATCTCTGCAACTCACCGAACACCAACTTTACAGGCAATAGCTGAAACTGAGTCAACAACACAGTCGCCTTTTCATTAAGGCTGGACGAACCTCAGCACATAGCCACTCAGTGATTTCGCCATAAGTAGCCATTGAACGTTTCGGTGCTTACGCTGTTTATGTGCTCAACGACAGCCTGGACGTTAAGAATTCTATCCGACCGGACGCATCATTAGCACCATTTGCCAGCGGACCAGTTTAGTCGTTAACACATTTGTGAAAGAGGATAAGTATATTAACAGCGTATTGTATTGGAACGATCATCTATGCCAATGAAGGATATGTGCAAAATGTCCGCCGGCATTCCGCTTACAGTGCACAAACGGCTTGATGCAATTGGCGAGCACTTTCTCCAATGTATCCCACTTGATCGCGCGACATTCGTTCACAATATTTTCTGTCAAGTGATCCAATGTATTCGGTCTTGTTTTGTACACTCGCCGCTTCAGATAGTCCCATAGTAAAAAGTCCATGGGATTCAAATCTGGTGAGCGAGCAGGCCACTCCATTGGTCCACCGCGTCCGATCCGATGGTGGCCAAATGTGTCGGTGAGGTAAGCACGCACCGTTTTAGCAGAATGTGCATGTGCACCAAATAGTATGAATGCCCTTCGGCCTCCAACTGGGGAAGCACAAATGTCTGCAGCATTTCCAAATACAACGATGCTAGGAAAAGATAAGTCTTTAGTACTTCAAAACAAAAACCTACCGGTCACATTCCCGGAAAAGAGATATGGACCCAAGATTTTCTGGCTTGTTAATCCGGCCCGAACCATCAGTTTCACACTGTGGTTCATATGTGATGCGGTAAATTTTCGTGGGTTGCTGGTAGCCCAACAGTAGTTTCCTTGTTCCATGCAGATGAAACAATGCCTCATCTGTAGCGATAACAGAACGAATATCCCCGTGATCCATAAACCAGCGGCAAAATTCATGCCGCTTCTCCGGATCGCATGGGTTCAAAACCTGCACTTGAAGTGCACGAAACCTCCGAAATTTTCGTTCCAGTAATATCCGGTGTACCGCATGTCGGGTCGTGTCAGTGCTGTGCGATCCGGCGAATGCTGAGATCGGGACTTTTTGACACTTCACTGACTACAGCGCAAGCTGAACGGTCGTCCGTGGTGATGCGAGGCGGTCATGTTCTCTTCATGTCACACACTACCAGTTTGCTCGAACTTGTTCATTAGTTTAAGCACGTACCGGGCGGTGATGGGACGCATTCCTGCGTTCATTGCGTTGTATTTTCTTAAAGCTGATGCGGCGTTTAAACCGCATTCACCGTACAGCCAAATAATCAGCGCGCGCTGAGTAACAGGAACGTTACGTGATCTTGACTGCGTTGTCTGCCCGTGCTCCATTACCTATGATTCAATAACATTGACAACAGTTGCAATATCTAATCTCGTCCTCAGCTGAGCTGCCATCACGTGCGCACATGCATGTTGCGGTTTCGGTCGCCTAAGCCGACTTTGCCGCGTAGCCAGGGAGACACACAGAGATAACCATCGATCGTTCCAACGCCTACGGTTGGCCATGACCTTCACTCAGTGTGACGTTAGTTGACAGCCGGAAACACGTTATGACTCGCTGGCTGCTAAACAGCCTCATGTCGGTGCGTCTTTAGAGGTTAGGCTTTTTCTCAGCTGAGCCCTGCACTAAATCACTCGTCTGCCGAGAATTCTGTACGTCCGCACCACTAAGGTGAGAGAGAAATTCATGTGTCTGCCCTCGCAGTAGCATGTTGCGAATTTTGCCAAACATTGGATGGCTATTGGATGTTGGGGATAACAACCGGAAATGACCGGCGTTCACCATGAACGAGCCATGGTAGGTAAATGAACGCTAATCGGCCTTCTTCCATCAGACTATCAGTTAGCTTACAAGTTACGACACTCTGCCACCGTCTCACACGGCACACTGGCCTTAGCTGCTAGCTACTTGGTACATACTTCTAACAATCCTTTTTTCGGTACCTGATTGTTATAATTGAGGGAACGCTGCCTCTATTCTGACTGCGTAACGCCTGATAAGATTGTCGCTGGCATGGTTGAAGCACGCCTACGATAACAGCCTGGAACGCTGACCAGTCGAACGGACTTGCGTTGACCTGATGGCGTTAGGTTAGCCGGGGTACGCGCTGGTGAGACGGAAATTGAGCGAGCATGAGAACGATCCTAGCCGCGCGTCTTCGGTAGACGCTGAGCCCTCGGGACGGACGCACACGACAGGGGGTCCGGTAGACGCGCACTAGTGACTTAGAAGCGAAGGCTGGCCAGCTAACGACTCACACAAAATCACGTGACCCGACCGACTCCCAAGTAAGGCGAAGAGGAAAGAAAGACAGGCGGTCCTCTGTAGGCTCTTTTATGACAAGCAAAGGGCGAATCACAGACAATGCTATGGGTCATTAAGTTAGTGAAAATTGCTACCACGACGAGGTGGTAGTTTGCAAATGATCGTTGTCAAAAGGTGCGCAGTTGGGCCGCTTCTAGGAGTGGCTGAGCGCTGCTGCGTTGTGGGGAGGAATTGAACCTTGCTTTCCACAGCCATTCGGCCGGGGTTTTTGGCGCGTTTTTGCAGGAATATTTGACGTGCCCGCAACACTGATATAGCTGGAGTACGCGCCCCCTTGACCAGCTCCAAT